CTCTGACCTTCTACTTCACCAAACACGATGCCCTTCTCCAGGGACTGGTCCCTCCTGATATCACCTCCAGACAATGTGAGCCCAAATCTCACCTTCCTCCCTTCTAATGAACATTCTGGCTGAACTTCTTCCAAGATGAATGTGCATGTTCTCCTGGTAGTTTCAAGGATTTGACAACACCACAAAATTCAGAGGTGTCACTTCTTCCTTGGTCTTCCTTATTCATCACCCTTGTTCATTAGCTACAGGTGGAGGGCACTTGAAAATGCCCAGAAAGGCAAGGTCTAGGACAGGGGTATGGAATGTCCAGCCCTCAAAATCATTTGGTCTGGTCCTGTCAAGGTAACCGCAATTCCAGCCATCACAGTGTTGTTGTTGTTAAATGCCATCGACTTTGTTCCAACTCATAGCAACCCTGTATAGGGTTTCCGAGAAGCGGCTGGTGAGCTTGAACTGCTGACCTTGCAATTCAAACCAACCTTGCAGTCCGGCGCATTAACCTGCAGTGTCACACCGGGACTCCATCACATGGCTGTAGTTGTTAAGTGCTATTGAGTCGGTTCTGACCCATATCAACCCCATACAATGGGTTCCCAAGGAGCGGCTGGTGAGTTTGAACTGCCAACCTTGCAGTTTAAACCAACTTTTCAGTCCAGCGCATTAACCCACAGTGCCCACCAGGACTCCTTCATCACACCGTTGTTGTTGTTAAGTGCTGACGAGTCGATTCCGACCCATAGCGACCCTCCATAGGGTTTCCAAGGGGCGAGTTAATTAAATGTTGGACCAAATACAGCAACTAATTTTTAAGCTGATAATTCTGTATGGCCCACAAATGATGTTATAAATATCCAAATGGCCCTTGTCTGAAAAAACGCTCCTCATCCCTGGTCTAAGAGAAAAGTGCCATGCCGCAGACTCCACCATCACTAAGCCTTGAACCTGTGCTGAGCAGGGTGTCCAAACACCACCACGTGCCACCCTGTTGAAACAGCCTGAACCACAGCATGTGCGGGCTGACCTCCAGGGCCCAGGTGTAAGCCCAAGCCTGGAAGGAAAGGTCAAGCTTGCCCGCCTCTGCTCCAGATGTCTGCACCACATCTAGGCACTGGCTGCCAGTTCTTCCCACCTCAAAGGCTCCGAAAGCCCACAGAAGCCAGCCATCATGGTTACAGGCCACCTGGAGTTAGCAGTGGAGTCGTGATCAAACGCCTCGGTCCTCCTGTGGTGGACACTAACACCTCCCAGTGTTTTTTTCACTTCACAATGAACGTTACCCAAAGAATTGGGTCTTTGTTCCAGGTTCCCAGGGATTGGCATCTTCATTACCTAGAGTACACCTCACTAGCAGGTTATACTAATGAGGGGGCTCCTGGGTGAGGGCTGGCCAGTCAGAAAGACCCACTCACTAAGGGCTACAAGCCAGACCTGGGGGAGGGGACTGGAGGCTGAGTTTAATCACACTTCATCTCACGTACTTTGGACATGGTATCAGAAGGGGCCAGTCTCTGGAGAAGGACATGATGCTTGGCCAAGTGGAGGGGTCAGTCAGAAAGCAGAAGACCCTTCACGAGATGGACTGGCATAGAAACAGCAACAATGGGCTGAATTATAGCAACGTGAGGGTGGTGCAGGCCTGGACGCTGTTTCGTTCCATTGTGCACAGGCCTCTATGAGTAGGAAGTGGCTTGTCGGCACCTAACAACAACAAGGTAAATGGGGAAGCTCTGGACACGGAGCTCTGAGAGGTTCCTGATGGTGACACACAGATGCGCATGGGAAGGGACAGCCTTGAGACTGTTGGGGACACTCCAGAACTCATCCCGGCTGCCGGTTCCTTCATAGTCCTCTGAGTCTATTCATCTGAATCTCTCCAGCTGTCATAAAACTACACTTCCCATGCAACGGTTTCCTGAGACCTGGGAGTTGTCCTGGAGAATTACTGAGCCCAAAGGAGTGATGGGTCAGAAGAGAGAAGGGGGGCCCTGGAGACTCCCAGCTTAAGGCGGGCATCTGTGTGGATCAAGAATTTGTCAGAAGTGACAGTACACTGAGGGGGTCGAGGCCGGCGTCTGAGGTTTAGGACAGACTTGGCTGTCTGGAGGACTGGACCCTTTTACTTGGGGGTTCTGACCTTGCTCTTGAAGGAGTCCTGGTGGCGCTCTGGGTTAGGCACTGGGCTGCTGGGTCAATGGTTTGAACCCACCAGCCACTCCATGGGAGAAAGATGAAACTGTCTGGTGCTATAAAGATTCCCAGTCGTGGCAGGTAAACAATGAACACTTAGTTCTTATTGGGATGAACCATTGGAAACTTTACTACAAATTAAAAAAGGGAAAGGCAAAAAAGATTCGGATATGGAGATGGCTGTACAACATGGGGAATGTGGCTGGGGTGGCCGGGGTACACATGTAAAAACAGTTGACGTGGCAAATGTTTTATTGTCTATATGTTGCTACGGAGTCATGGTATGGCGTGGAAGGTTAATGTGCTGGACCACAAGGCCGGTGGTTCAAACTCACCAGTCGCTCCTCAGAAACTCTATTCAGGGTTGCTATGAGTTGGAATCGACACACTCAGCAACCACATATTGCTACCATAAATAAAGAGTCTCAGAAACACTACGACAGCAGTAGGTGGTCCTCGCACTGGTGGGCGGGGTCAGAGGAGGAGGTGCTGTGTGTACAGGTGGTGTCAGGACAGAAGGGGACTTGCTGGAGTCCAGCACCTCCCTCCACCTTCAGAACCATGGAGAAGAGACAGCACAGACAGAGCGTCATAAGCTTTCAGTAAACCACCACCAGCAAAACCAGGGCATTGGAATCAGTTCACGGATGTGGCAGGTACAGGTTCCTCAGGTGTTGCAGCTGACAAGTACACATGCACGTGACCCTGACTTCACACACGGAGCAGGTTTAATGGCTGCAGCGGGCGCTCGGGCCAGCCTGTGACTCCTAATTCCACTCTGGGCACGAGGTCCCTACTAAGCTTGCCTCTCTCTCTGCGCCATCTTTCCTCTGAAAAATGAAAGCGAGGCTAACAAAGCCCTTCTCAGAAGTGATATTCCAACATGCTTGACCATCAACACCTTCCATCTGCTGTCTGTACAGGACCTGGCCGTCAAGGGACCTCAGACAGGATGACACCCTCCCACAAGGACAATGCCATCTCCACCATCAGGGACAGTTGGCCTGGGGAGGGAAGGAAGACTTCCCACTGAGGGTGAAGGTATGTGGCTTCAGGGTGGGAACAAGTAGGGGGTAGATTTGAAAACAGAAAAGCAGCCTGTTTCTTCTGAGCACCACAGTTATTCCCTCCTCTGGGGAGGGACTGGGAGCCAAGAGAGGAGACCACCGGAAATGGTACTAAAGAGCCTGGCAGTTTTATCATGTGACCACCAGGGTCTGCCCCCGGCCTACTACTGCTATGGAGGGCTCTCCTTCCTGGGGATAGAGCAGTGGGTGTAGCAAGGCCTGGCTGGGGGTGGGGGACCCTTCATGGTGAAAGGGGAAGGCTGGTTTGGTGTCAGAATGACCAGAGGCCATCCTAGCCAGGGAGAGGTCATCCCAGGCGGGCTGACTGTCCCTAGGCAAGTCACTTGTCTATCTGAACTTCAGGACATCCTAGCCCCAAGAAAGGTCCTGGGGGTGCCTTGTAGGCCGGAGCTCTACCAAGGGTGAGAGGCATGTGGAAACTAGGAAGCAAAGCTAACAGGGCTGAGGGCCTGAAGCAGATGGCCTCTTAGATCCCTTCCATCTCAGCTATTCTGTCCCAGGTGACAGGTGGGCCTGGTCAGCTGGCCTGCAGCCCAGCACACAGTAGGTGCTTAATGAAGGAGTGAGGGTCCTCTGATTACTGCTCTTCAGACAAAAGACCCACGACACTAATGCCCTCTACCATTCCTACCTTGTAAGTCGTCCACCCCCCCACCCCCACCCCAGGGACCCTACTTCAGGAAACCTCCAGCCCCATCTCCTACAAAAAGACATTCCACTGTCTCCTTTTCTCAGCCTAGACAGCAGGGTGGGGCCTGCCAAAGGGCCAGGACAGCTTGGGGACCCACACCCTGGTTTGACCTCAGGAGGAACAAGTCCCCTCTTTAGGACTCAGTTTCCCCAACAGATGAATGAAGGAGGGAGGGACTGGGGGAATCTCAAAGACTGGCATTCACAAGTCAGCAGGGTTATCAGATCCTGGGGGGCGGGGTAGGGCAGGATGGCTGACAGTGTGGTATGAAGTCATTCCTGGCACGGAGAAGGGAGGGGTCTTTTCATGGAGAAGTGACAAACCAGCGGCTGCAGGGGAGGGGGCTCCTCCCTTGCAGCACTCAGTCACCATTACCTCACACCTAGTCAAGCACGGAGACCCACCCCCACCTTGCAGCCAGGCCCTCTCACCAATATGAGGAATCCTCACCCCATCCCAGGAGCAGAATCCGCCCCCTACCCAGAGAGGGCAAGGCCCAACAGGTTCTCCAGTAGTCCATGGACAGGGAGACAGGAGGGAACGTGAGGTTTGGGAGGACAAAGGCCTCTGTATGAGCCAGGCGCAGGGGCCAGCTGGGCAAGAAGGTTAGCCTTGCTGGGTCAGGCTAAAGGTTTCCCAGAATCTGCACCCACACGGAACCGAGGCTCCCAGGAGGGCTTCCTGGGGGAAGAAGAGGACAGAAACCCTCGGGGATGGAGGGTGAAAGCCAGGGCAGAAACTAAAAGAGGAGACCAGACGCACACTCAGAGAGGGACAACGAACGACCATGGAAGCAGAAAAATACAGGACGCGGCCTTGGGAGCAGAGACCCCAGCAGTGGGAGGTCCGGGCGCGGGGACGTAGATTCTGAGACCAAGGGAGGCCCAGACGCGCGGTCCATGGAAGCGCGCACCTTCCCAACGAGGCTCGCAGCCCGGCCAACCCCACTCACACAGGCCACTGACCCCGGCGCCCAAATCTCGGCCCCACTCACCGAGCCCGCAGATCCCAGATCCCGGCCCGGCTGCACTCACCGAGCCCGCAGACCTCGCGGCGCAGGCTGAGTCGGCCGCGCTCCTCCGCTATGGCGCGCAGCATGTGCTGCAGGGAGCGCCCCTCAGCCTCGGCTCCGCTCGCAGGCTCCGGGGACCGGGCGAGGGCGGGCGGCCCGG